GGGGACCAGGGTGAGTTGGGGGTCAGGGAGAGTTAGTGGGCGGGGTGAGTTGGGGCTGGGTGAGTTGGGGGAGCAGGGTGAGTTGGGGGAGCAGGGTGAGTTGGGGGAGCAGGGTGAGTTGGGGGAGCAGGGTGAGTTAGTGGACGGGGTGAGTTAGCGGGCGGGCTGAGTTGGGGCCCCAGCTCACCCTGTCCTGCCTTCCCAGGACCCCCTGGAGCAGCTCGGTATCTCGCAGGAGGCCCGCTTCCAGCTGAGCAGCCTGAGGGCCTGAGCCCAGACCCCTGGGTCCCTTCCCCTGGGCCCGCTGGGGCTTCGTCTCTGCAGCTGCCAGGTGGCATGCCCGCTGTGGAGGCACCCGTGCACTAGGTGCTGCTGCAGGTGGCCGGGGACCACTGTCACTTCCCAGGGCTGGCCCTCCTCAGGCTCAGCTCCCCCTGCAAGGGGAGGCGTTCCCTGGCGTGTTGAATGTACATTGAAGCTGTGAAGGGTGAGCGAGCATCAGGCTCCCTCCCTGCCCCGGTGTGAACTGCTGATGGGGCCCCAGGGCTCCTTGTTGAAATAAAGTTACCTCTTTTCCACTGAGCGCACTGGTGGGTGATTTTTAACACGATGCTGGGGACCTAGTGCTCTCCTCCCCCAGGAATTTAAAGTTCAGGGGCTTGAGACGTTGAAACAGAATGTTTATTAAAGTCTAGGTGGCAATGCATAGCACTCCCAGACCTTGGGAGTGGAAGGGGTCCCATGCCCCCCACCCTCTGCAGGTGTGGGCGTGGCTTCATTAGGAAAAGTCCCTTCTAGATGGGATTGCCTGTTCCCTACCCCCACTCAGAATAGCCACAGGACCCACTCCGGTTGAAACGAGTATGTTTATTGCAGCGTCTAGAAGTGACAATGAATGCAGGGTGCAGGCGGCCGGTGGTGGCCAGCCGGGTGCTCGGGTCAGACTTGAACACAAGACAGCACAAAGCTGCGTTTCCATCACAGAATGTTGAGAAGTGGGGAGGAGGCAGCAAGCAGGATCCCAACAAGCCTGAGCAGAGGGGTGGCTCGGGGTGCGGAGAAATAGGGGTGCAGCAACCTTAAGTTCATGGCTGGGCGCCGAGGCCCAGTGGGAATTTGATTTCGTCGGTTCCTGAGGGCGGTCCACTTGCTCCCTGAAGTTGCCCACGAGCCAACAGCAGTGCCCCCGCTAGAGCTGTCGGAAGCCTGGTGGGAGGCTCGGTTGCTGTCACCTGCCCGGGGGCCCACGGTCCAAGCATCCTGGTGACCTCCAGGGCTCTAGTGTCATGTGCAGCCAGGGGCTTCAGGAACTGGCAGGCAGCAGGTGGGACCACCCTAGCTAAGAGAGTGTAGTCACGGGTCGCTGGCAGGCTGAGACTGACCACGTAGACACAGGTACGCAGCTAGAGCCTCCCAGTGCTCGAGTCTGCATCCGGGAGGCTTTGGTGAGGGTGCACTATGGCACTGAGTGCCCCGGTGCCTGGCTGCGTACCCTCGGGCGGGGCGGCCTTCTTGGATAAGGACTGGAACCACCTCTCTCCCGGGCGACTTGGGAACCTCTCAGAGGCCAGCAGGATGGCACCTGGGGGCTGGAAGGGCCGGGAGCCGAGACCACTGACGTGAGGCAGCACCTGCAAGCCGAGCACCGACTGGGGCGGGGGTACTTTGAGGGGGACAGCCAGGCTGACGAGCACCATCTGCAGATCCCAATGACTATTGCTGGGGTGGGAAGGGGCACATCACCGGAGCACCCGCCCCCCTCCACCCCAGGAACGGGCACCATCCAGTGAGTGGCTGTGACCCCAGCCCACTTCAGGAGGAGGGTACGGCAGGGGCCTGGGAGGGCAGGGCTCCGGGAGGGCCGGGATCCCAGGCCCCCCTGCCTGCCCCTGGCCTCACTGACTTGACTGTGGTGACCTGGGGGGACCCAAATCTCACTGGCAGCCTTAGGAAGCACCTGAGGGCAGTGCTAGCTGCACCCCACCCCCCAGTCCACACTGTCCACTGCGAAGCACGCGGAGCACCGAGACAAGGCTGCCACTGGGGCGTGGCCAGGAGTGTCCGAGGATGCGTGGTCTGTCCATTGCAGGTGAGGCCAGTTGGCCAGCACCACTTGTATGCTTGAATAAATAAGGTTCCTCTCTCCCTCACCCCCTTTTCCTTCTTTGTTTTAAAGTTTACTGTGCATTATACAATCTAAAAATAAAGGAGATCGCGTCTATGAAATTGATAAACTTTCATCCCTTCTCTATAAAATACTGTCACGGGTCAGCGTGACTCTCTGCTGTACAAACCCCAGGCAGGCGGCCGCCCTGCCCTCACCGCCCGCCAGCTCCCCTCCCACGTGGCAGCGTGAGCAGAGCGACAGCCTTGGGCACATAGTAAATGCACTTAGTACAAAGGCCAACCAAGCCGGGGCCTTCAGCCCTGGAGCGGGGACCTCGGAGCGGTCGTGGGGTGCCATCCCGCCCCCTCACGGGTTGCCAGGCAGCGTTCACAGTGACGCACGGGGGCTCGAGGTGGGTCCGACCCCCAGGGTAGACGACACCACCAGCCCCCTCCGCTGGGACGTGGACAGTGCGGCAGGCAGCTCGGCCTCCGGTCAGCACCAGGAGAGCGGGAGGCCGCACGGCCTGCCGACGAGGTAGCACCGGGCCAGGCGGGCAGTCTTTCCACAGATGTGTCTCTAGAATCTTCTCCCATAGACATTTCTGAGCAAGTTGCCGTGGATGACTTAGATGGAATAAAATAGGTCAGAGTTGCTTTAACTTTTTAAAAAACGATAAATACTTTATCTAAAACTATCAATGCGTGCGCGGAGCCGCTCCCGGGCCCGGCGGCGCACGGCAGGTTCACAGTAGCTCCTCCGTCCTGTCCGCGGTCCAGTGGTGACCCTGCGGCCGCAGCACCGGGGCAGCACACGCGATGGTCCACGCTGTCCTTGCATAGTCGTGCGGCTGAGGTAGAAGTCCTAGTTACCTGCGGGCCAGCAATGGGAGAGAGCACACGGTCAGTGCCCGCCCAGACACCAGCAGGTGGCCAGAAGGTCCACAGGGTCAGCAGTGACCACAGCCACCCGAGTGCTCAGCATGACAGGAGGACCGGGGCCTGGTCGGCACCGGGGGCCACTATCTGAGAAGCCCCCTGCCTGACACATGGGCACAGAAACTCCAGAACCACCTCCCCGGGGCCGAAGTAACTGGATCTTGCCCACCCTGGCCCACTGCTGGTTACGAGGAGTGCAGGCCGAGGCCCTGCCACCGCACTGCAACCAGGCGGTCACACGGGCCTGTCCAGTGTCAGGCTCACGACGGTGCAGGCACGAGTGTCCCCTCTGTGCTCACCGAATGCCCGAACCCAGAGCGCTGAAACCTCAGGCCGCAGGCTCAGCCGACAGACGGAAATGCTACAGGGCGGCCGGGCACAGAGCCCACCGCGGCGGAACCACCGGGGGCACAGCGCCCACGTGCTGCCCCAGATCCAGCTGGCTGCCCACGGGGTGCTCTGAGCAGGGGAGTCAGGCCCAGCCTCGGCCTCGTGGGGAGTGCTCTGTGCTTCAGTGTGCAGGGACACCAAGTAGAGCACAGCCTCACCCACCTCCTATCACTGAGGAGGGGGTGTCTTCACCACATGTGGGGACACCCCCACTGTCTCCTCCATGACGGGGGCTCACGTGCCCTCCACACCGGGTCACCCCCACTGTCTC